TTACTATCATTATCAACGCCAGTGTTTCTCGACGCGCCGCGCGCGTGCTGCCACCGACTACTTTACGATTAATAAGATTATCCTCGATGTCGCATAGCGACTATTTATTTCATGGCTATTTAAATTGTCTTTAGGTTTACATTAGGAAGTTGTTACCCCAAGAGTTCGCCGAGCACTGCTTTACCGTCTCTTTTCCAATGTCCTCACACGCTTCCGGTACATACAGCTTTTCTCAAGAATGAATTACGGCTATTTGATAAAGGAATCTTCGTTGCTGTATTTCTCGTTGTAGAGGCGTCAAGAGTATATTGGGATTGTGATGGGGGACCGTTCACAGTGCGCATAATAGGCTCTGACGTAACAGATATGGTGCGAGGATCATACGCCTTGCGATATTCGAAGCGCAGTGCGCATGCGCGCTCGCCGAATCTAACCAATTCGTGTTGTGTATTCTCGTTAACCAGCTAACTCGTCCGTCTTTAATATGAAACGAGACGCGCAGGAGAAAACAAATATAGGGACAGGTTGTGACGCTTTCGATGTTTTACGAGACGAAAAATAACAGTTACTAATCGTGCACGAGAAACTCCATGCATGTGGATATATTTGATATATGCTTTCATGGGAGGTATATACTTGAACGTGAAAAACGAAGGACGAGTGGCGGACAAAGGTAGGATTAGAACGTCTAACGTATGTAATTATTTAAATTATTATTATTCTTTTTCATTCGAGGATGAAATCGTAACATGCCTTTCAATATCCAATCGTCTCGTTTCTATTGCGTTGACGCGACGTGTAACGGACGTCCCAATATATATAGATATAAATATACATATGTATATACATATATCATATATTTATATATATTTTGTCTTTCCTTTATATCAGCCACGAGGACATTTCAGAAGCTCTGTGTTATCTGATATTGGTGCTTTCCGTGTCCGCCCTTCCTACCACACGTCCTTACTTAATCCCGACTAAAAGAATTTTAAGCTGCCGCGTTATTGTTATTATCCCGCAGTCATATAGGAACGTATATATTATATATATATATCGCGATGTTACATGCGTAGATTTGGCCGGGGAATCGCGGTTCTCGTTTCTCGCATTTCTTTTCGTACAAAACTGCTGCACACAAATGAAAATCACGAACGCACTTCACTCAGTGACCTGTCACAAAATGGGATTCGTGAAAACAAAGAAAAATACAAAAACGTGTAACGGTGCCAAAATGTGTCGTGTCTGTCCGAAGGAGAAATGCGCATGCGCGTGCAGAGTTGACAGGTTCGAGAGTTCAAAGATGCGAGACGAAATAGGAAGAAATAAATAAAGGAGGTTAAGAGAGAACGAAAAGTAGATATTAGATTCTTGAGGTATACTTATATCTTGAAAAATAAAAGAAACCCCACCGTGCAATGTCGAAGGTGCAATCACAAAGACGGTCAGGTGCAATGTTTTCGTGTGTCTCTAACGAGTCGAGTATAGCGAGCGGAATAACGAAGATTCGAGCGAGAGAATGATCGCGCATGCGCGTGGCCGTACACTACACCTTATTTCCCATCGAAGTTTTCGGAATATGTAAAAATTGTGAAAAGTCTCTGTTGAAACGGCTATATATCTGTTGACTTCTCGTCTATCTATCATATATATTTATTTTAATTTCTATACGTACCGCTATTATCCTGAATTCCTTATACCCCATTTCGGCTTCCCTTTAAATCCTTATATTCTCCAATCCCACCTCATCCATCCATCCATCCCCTTCCACCTGTCCTCTGTATCTTGTGATACGCGTGCGAAAAGTCTCAGACGTTATTTCAAGATGATAAGCAACAGCCAAAACGCACGCAGATTAACCTATTTAAAAAGAATACTACGAAATCTAGGTAAATACGAGTGACGTATGGTCCGAGCGTAACGCGGGATTGAAATACGATATAATATCGAATTCAAAAGAGAATACAAAATATAATAACGTTACCTAAGAAGATACACGTAATATGTAAGTATATCTACGTCTACTGTGAGCATAGCGTATATAGATAGATAATATACCTGTACTATGAACGTACGCGTACAGCCGTGGTTGCCCCCTAACCCCCCGTCATTGCTCCATCGTCATTCATCATTAATTATTACTATTGATAAAATAATAAGCGTCTTTACTTACCAATACGTGATACCGGTCTCTGTACTGTTAACTATTGTTGTTGTTATTATTATTAGTATCATTATTATCATTGCCATACGTATGGCACCCACTCTGCGTATGTACAAGGGTATACGCGTGCACGTATGTTAATCGGACGTAATTAATCCTGATCCAACGCGATGACGCACATGTTAACTACACTTGAATACCTCTCAGTTTAATTAGCTTTACCTTGAGCACTTGGGACCTGATGCCACCGGAAACGGATAGGAATCCTCTACGGCATATCCTGGCGGTGGGAGGGCTACTTTCGTTTATTTCTCTTTTCTTTTTTTTCTTTTTTTTCTTGGATCTTCGCCGCCATTTTTTTATTCGTAATTACGTCAATGCACGACGAGCAGCGACGGGGACAACCGGCAACTACAGCGAACACTGTTATTTGTCTGATTATTGTGTAAAGAATCATAAATAAATATATGATATCGAATGAGAGTTCAGATTGGCTTTTTACCTTTTCATGAACTTTGACACGTTGACCTTTGTCAATAAGTGGATACTTTGGGTCGATGGGTCATTCGAGTGAACGCATGAATTGGGAGGATTATGATTTTTTGGGATATCAATGAAAAAGCACTGTTTTTCATTTCTTTTCTTTTTCTCGTATATTCACGTAATATAATATTTCGTTTTATCGTGTTTCTTATACAGAGGTTGTCATCTGCCTGGTTTTACTCTTCGATAACGCCAAAAGACGGAATGCGTATCGGCAAGTGGCGTATCTTTTTCGTCAATTAACATGAGATAATAGACCTAAACGGGATATCGTGGTTTTACGATATATGCGCATATATATATATATATATATATATATATATATATATATATATATATATATAAAATTATGCGCGTGTTTTTTGTGTATATGGGTTTTTGTGCGTGCGAGGTGCGTGTATTTATATCACTGGTTTTTTTTCTTCATGAATTTTATTTCAGCTGCTTTCAGCAGCAGCCTCTCTTATCGTCTGTGCCGATTGAGATTATTTACGCGGGTTTAATGGGTATGTGTTTTTTTTTTTATTTTTGCTTGTTTAGGGCCTCACAGTGTGTAGCTACGTGGGTATGTATGTATATATATACAGAGCATTTATTTTCCTTTTTTGCATATATGTATATTTCAATAACATCGTCAACCAATAATTTATTTAATCTACAACGCCTTCGCGCACGTTACGCAAATTTATACGTCGTTCTACGCTCTTCAATATACGTACGTCTGTGTCCCTTTAACGCATTTTATCGTCAACGTCGCCATTTTTAATCGTCATTTTTTACTTTATCTCTCTCTCTCTTTCTCTCTCTCTCTCTCTCTCTATCAACTTTCTCATCCACGCGCCCATATTCGCTCGTAAATTTATTCAGTCGCCACTTTTCTCTGTCTCGTTCACACTCAGTCTCACTCACGCGCTCAGTCATACAGGATCTCTCGTGCGCCATTTTCTTGTTCTCTTTTATCAGAGCTCAGCCAAGGACTATGGACACACAACGTGGATCACAGTCTTAATCTGCATTCATCGACTCTTTTTAGCGAAAGAAAAGAGGGGATATAACGAAGCTTATAAAAGGAAAGAATTTTCAAAAAATTCAATCACAATCGATGCGTTTCTCTCTCTCTCTCTCTCTCTCTCTCTCTCTCTCTCTCTCTCTCTCTCTCTCTCTCCCTCTCTCTCT